GGTAACTTTCTCACCATTTGGGAAGATAGAATTCTTACTTTAGTTCCTAAATCAAAATGATTTAAGGTGAAAGCAACCCTTTAAAACAAACATTGAAATTATGAGATTAAGGTAGTAGAGACAAACATTTAACCCATAAAATTACATAGAAAAAAGCTTTTTAAAGCCAAACAGTCTAACTTTTCACAATGAACATGTGTAACTCTTTCGGTACAGACTATTGATAAATTATTTTCGTTTTCTATATTTATGTGACATCATTTGCATTTTTTCTCTAAGGTGTTAGTTATTTAATTATAGTATAAAATAAGTCACTGATCAATTCGTTTGACTAAAGAAAAATAGCACATGATAATTTCCAGAAATTTTTCCAAAGCTGGAGTTGCAGCAGTGATTGAATATTACTCAGGCTTTAAGAAGCTTGCTCCAGAATAAAACACAGGTTCAACTAAATTTATATCACAGGCAAAAGAGAAGAAAGAGGAGACTGGAACAGGAATGCTGGGGATTATTCAGAGATTGAAACTTTATTTTATTTATTTTTTAAGTGGTTGAATAAACAGGGTGTTAGGGTAGACCTGACTGAAAAATGATTTTTTAAAACAAACATTTGAAACATCAAGAGATGCTGATATGCACCTTTCAGGCAAGGGGAACTAGACGGGCAGACATAAAGGCAGCCATGTAATTGAGCATCAAGGAACATCAAGGAAGACATTGTTGATGGTACTGGACAAGTGAAGGAGAAAGTTCTAATGTGCATGCAAGCAAACAGTGGCTAGATCACTTCAGTCTTCAGGACTGTAAGTACCTGAGCTTGTATTTTGAGTAAAAGGTGCCATCTGAGAGTTTGAGGCAAGGAATGCCATGATGTTGCAGAGTTAGGATCTTCTGGGTATTAAATTGTCATGAATGATTAAAAAATTTCAAACTGGAAACAAGAGAATTATTGCAACAAGAAAGAGGCAGAGGAGAAGAAGAAAAGTAGAGATGCTTTTCTTCATTCACTAAGTGTTTACTAAGTACACTGCTCTGGCTAAAATTTAAATGTGAATTAGATTTCTACCCTCTTCAGAAGGAGATAAAATATGAGCAGAAATAACCATAATACAAAATAGAGAACAATGGGAAAAAAGGTTAACTTTCTATCTTAGGTTACAGAGAGGCAGAATTAGGGAAGTTTTCTCCAAGTATCTGGTGCTTTGCTAGAGACAAAAATATATTCACAGCATGTGTTCAGTCTCTGAACTATTAAATTAGCATTTTAAATGGTGCCTGGCACATAGCCAGTGATCAGTAGATATTTGTTACCTAATAATAGGATGAATGTGTGTATGCAGATATGTAGAGAAAAGTGTCATACAAGTCAAGGGAACAAAATAAGAAAATCATAAAAGTGAAGATTTAAATTTGTTTCCTGAGTTTAGGGTGGCCAAAGCAAATGATAACAGTGGAAGATGAAATTAAAAACACAGACTAGATTAGATGATAGAAAGTTTTGCTGGCATCAGGGGAGAATTATCATTTTTTGGTAAGAGTTGGGGATTTTCAAAAACTTTGAATAGTGATGTAACTTTGTACTGGAAAAATGAATGTGACAGAGACGATTCTAGATTGGTGATTGCATTCTAAAGACCAGTTTGGATATTATCCAAACCTAGGAAAAAGCTAGTAAGGATCTCTATCAGGTTATTGTCACTTGACTCCTTTCACTGGATTGAATAAGTACTTGCAAGCCTAATCATAGATTTATAATTATTTGTACTGGACGGCCAGGGATATAGCTCAGTGGTGTAAGTGCCTGTCCGGCAAGTGCAAGATTGTGTTTGATTCGTGGTATCAAAAAAAAAAAAAAAAAAAAAAAAGCTTGGGCCTATATTTATTTGTACTGTAATTATTTTACTTATCCCTCTCCTTTTTCTTCATTTACAATATAGCATATTTAGCACTGATAGTAGTAGGCACTGTTAGTTATCTCCTATGCCCCTTCTTCTTTTTACTACCATAATAAAACTAAGTTTGAGATAGACACAGAACTACTAGGTAGATACTATGTTTACAGCTGTTCTAGGAACTAATTGTGGTCATAACGTAAGTTTTGACAATGGATTTAAGTGATAAGAATAACTTCTTCGGTATATGCCCTCATAATGAAATTGCTGTTTCTTTTTGCCTCCTTCTTGCAATGTACTGATTTTTCTCGCTGCCTGCCTGAAGCAGACATTGGAAATTACACTCTTTGGAACTATGTAACTTTTTTAGTCTTTTTCCTACTAAGACATGTGGGGAGGATTTGGAGTTACCTTAAGGGTCTATCAGAGGGAAAATGAAGTATGAAATCTTCAAGTCATGTACTGCCTTTCATTCTTCATAGACAACTTTGTTTTTGTTTTTGTTTTTTTTTGTCTTTTTGAGACAGTCTCATTATGCAGTTCAGGCTGGCCTTGAACTCATTTTGTAGCCCAGGCTAGTCTTGAACTTGCAGTGAACCTCCTGCTTCAGCCTCCTGAGTGCTGGGATTACAGGTATGTGCCACGATGCCCCATTTATGGACAAATATTATAATAACATAAATTTAAATATTATTGTTTGATTTCATGGTTTTCATGATTGCTTATTTTCATACAAAAGGCAACAGAAATTTTGTGGAATTGAAACGTGTCTCAAGAACATTTATAATTAGGATTTCAAAAACTATCTGTTTATGTTTACCATTACTTTGCAAATAATTTTGTGTTCTTATAAACATATTATGATTGCTTAAATAAGAATTTCTGTTTTCACAGTGTATACCAAATCAAATTTGTATATTTGTATTACTACAGTACTCTCAAAGAAATATCTTGAGTTGTATGCACCTTTGAGTACATTTGTACCTGATTTGAGTGAAACAGCTTTGGAATGATAGCTTATCTAATTAGCTAGGTTTTGAAAGAGGCAAGTAAAGGTAAGTCCTAACCCTGGAAAAAATTTATGGAAGATTGGATCATGGAGTTGCAATTTTAAAAAGTCAGAAATTTATGTTATATATTCTTTATAGAAATATACCTTTGGAAAGACAGAGACCGTTTCACTTTATGTAATGATGAAAGTCTATACTGCTAAAAAAATGAAATATGAGATATAAAAAATCAGTTTTTGTTTCCTATACTACTTGTTATTTTGTATAAACAATATTGTCTTTCTTTTACCAAAGCCTTATTGTTGTAGTAGATTTAGTTTGGTGTACTAAGGACAAGGACTTTGTTTTGCTGATCTCAAATCCCTAAAACTATGCTTAGCAAGTAGTAGGCCCAAAAATAAAAGAGTTTTTGATAAAATCGATGAATAATGTTTGGATCTAAGAATTATTACTATTTCTTGGTAAAGTGGCAAAGTAACCTAGCCTGATTTGAAGACCTCAGTGGAAAGACAAGCACTACCAATAAAATATTTAGTATTAAAATAGGTAAAGAGAAGTTAAATTACCTTAAATAAAATGTTTAGATCTTTTTTTGTAGGGTGAGTAATGGAATCCAACTCAGGACCTTACACTTGCTAGGCAGGTGCTTGTGCCACTGAGATATGCCCCTGGCCTAAATAAAATGTTTATAAAAGGTTACTTCAGAGTCAATATTTTGAGTCTTATCATTATATTTATTATATATGGCAGAATGTTCAAGCACTTGAGTTTTACTTCAGGTTAGGCAATGGAAGTACGACATAAGAATGTAGAATTATTGAGTCAGAAGAAAAAGAAAAACATGACTTTTACTTTTGCATATATGTGTTGTTAAATACAACTTTGAAAAAACCACCAAAATTATAATCATAAATATTGTGCAAAGAACTTGAGTTGATTAGACTGAATAATTATGCTATTCTATGTTGCTGATAAATGACTTGCTATGATTCCCAAGAGAACTTAGACACATGAAATTTCTTGAGCAGTTACCATAAGCAGGAATTTTTATTCTATTTTCAAGTATTTTAAGTGCAGTAAATCAATGACACGTCAAAATATGTGTAGCAGTGTAGGAATTTGGACTAGGTAATCTTAGATTTTTTAAGGATTAGTTTAAGAAGAAAGAATGAAACAAAAAATAATACTGAACTGGAAAAGAACATTATTCATTTAACATAATAAATTGTCATATAACAAGTCAAATCATCCTAGGGTATAAATTATTCAAATTTGAAAGCTACATTTGTTATTTCATGTCTCATTCCTGGACAGGGAACGTGTGACTCAGTAGCAATATCTGGTTTGCTATACCAAATTCAGAGCTATTTAACAAATACGAAGATTTAAAAAAATTATCATGTATGTAACCATTTGTTGTGCAATTTAAATTTTTTTCTAACAGCATTGAGCATGTTTTTATTATACAAATAATGAACTATGAGCTGTGTTAATAGAGATATTAGAACAAAAGCTCAGATTGTTTGAAATGTATTTTAAAGGCCTATCAGGAAACAGGCATCACATTAAGTTTCCTTCAGTATACTAACAGGCTGATAATCCTTTTATAAGAATGTTGTTAGGAAATTCTAAGACATTCTAAAATATAGTAGTAGAATCAACTTATTAGTGTAGATTATTTAATGACTCTGTGGTCCTCATTTTTTTTTTTTTTTTTTTTAATGAGCTCATGTTAAATTTTGCAAGAGGTTTCTAAGAGCTCCTCTTCCATGAGGCCTTTTGCTGAGTGGGCCTCAGAAAAGAAAGAGGATCTTTTTTTCTTCATGTAAGTACCTTTAGGGTAATCTGGACTGGTCTAGAAACTATGGGTTATCAGGAAGATGATTATAATGGGTAGGGTACATGTCTTGCCAAAGAGGCTTTCTAATCTAGCCTGACCACCCTCCGTTGGGCATCTTCGGTTAGTGGCCAAGAGTCATGGTCAGTTTTGGCAAATACTACCCAGGACACGGACTTGGAATCCATCCTAGAGCTGGCAGGCCCTACAATTTCATGTCCCCTAATTTGGAGCGAGTGCTTTCAATTGAAGATCACTTACGACTGAATTTTTCATCATAGCTTTGACTGTGAAGCCCTCAGAAACCAAGGAGTGAGGCTGGTGCACCGGGAGCGGCTGTTGTGCCAGCAGTTTGGTCCTCTTCGGCATCTTGTCTGGGCATTTGTTTAAGCCGAGGGTCTCTTTTTCTGCCACCATCTTCCTAGATAATGTCTTGTTCTCATAAAAAGTATAGTAAAAAAATTCAGTGGGCTTTACGGATGTGAGCAGGAGGTCGAGAAAGCAATGTAAAAAGGCGCCTTACTGGTAGAAATTCAACCCCTCCTTAATGCCCAAGTTGATCCAGATGTTTGGCAGCTCCTAGGTGAAGGGTTTAGAGAGGGGAGGGGTGGGTGGAAGGCCGGATAGTTTCTAGAGCTGCCACCCTCCCAAATGTAAGCCTCCCAGTTGCTAAGCGACTCATCAACACTGCAGTCCAGTAGCCCCGCCCCCCGCGACGAACATTTCCTGGACCTTAAACCGGAAAGGGAGGCTTGCTGCCGCAGGCTGGAGAAGAAACTACAGACCCAAACTACGCCTCCCAACAGACCACGGGGTGCGGGCCGTTTGCGCGTGCGCATTACATCTCCGGGCGTGAGGGCGGGGAGGCCTGGATGATTTAACCCGCGACAACCGCTGGTGGGAAGCACTTGCGGTCGCCGATGAGCACATAGGCCCCTTCTCATCCAGCAGCCACCACTTTCCCAGTGACCATGATAGGTACGTGGGTGCTTGCCAGGTACAGCCTCTGCGCCGCCCGGGGTCCAGGTGTGGCAGACGACTGGGACCTTCGAGTGCCGGAAGGTGCCACCTGTCAGTGACAGGGCAAAAGTGTCCGCGCCATCCTGCATCGCGCCGCCGGGCTCCCCTCTGCGGTTCGCACCGGCATGGAGTCTCCGGCCTCCATGGGTTGTCCAGGAGCCCCAGTGTGTGTTTTCAGTCCCCATCTTTCCCGCCTGTAGCGTAAAGGCTCCTACTGAAGACAACTTCTCCAGGGACACTCGGGTGTCCCGCTGCGCCCCCTGCCTTTCGCGAGGGCCAGGCTGGGTTCTCGCCACGCCACTCTCAGCACACTGTCAGTCAGAACCGTAGAACGGTGTGTGGTACATGTAAGGTCCATTTTTCGTCCAAACTTCTCCCCTCAACTTCTTGAAGGGGACCTGGTCGGCTGTCATCAGTTAAGGACATCCGGATCCAGTGTCTGTAGGACTCTTAAGGAAACTCTGTCTAAGCATTAAACTCTAGTGAAGGTACCTGATGATTAAGTGTTGGGGGTCGAAAGAAATTTCTCCAGGTTTTAATCTTCATGCTCCTTCGGATCTCTACTGTTAAATCTCTCAGTGAAGATCTAAGATCAAATAAGAACAAATGTTAGCAGTGAATACATTTCTTGCCTTTTGTACCTACATGTAGTTTTGTGAATAAAACTTCGTAGTCATTAGAGTTGCTATAAAACTGTGAAGTCTAAGATTAGCAAAGGTCCTCTCTTTCAACATTGGTACCAAAAGTTACTGGAGAGGTTATCATTAAATTTAGAGGGAATGAATATTGTATGTAGAAAACATTGCTGCTCCAGTGTTTCATTATTGGGGAGACTTCCTCCAGTTTATGTTTGGAAGATTTGGTGAACTTGTTTGGGGATTATTCCTGGTGTCACTTATAAAACACTTTTGATTGCAATAAGCACATTTGAAGTCAGATGTGGTCTGTCCAGATGACAGATGAGAGGTGGATTTATAAGATATATATTTTTGGCCTGAAAATACTTATCTGTTTTATTTATGAAAGTAATGTTAAAAACATTCTTCCCATCCTAGTCATACCGTTACCTAACATTGTTTTTGCAACAGTATTAAAAGTTAAGAATGTTATGCATCTTTTTTTACCTTTCTGATTTTTGGTGAAAGACTTGAAAAGTTATCAAATTAAGAAAAAATAATATTTTTATGAATCTTACTGTAACTGCTGGGTATTGTTTGCATAAAATGCACTTGTAAACACATCTGAACTGAATCTCTTAACCAAATAGATTTTTCAATGTCTAACATATAGGAAAATAATAGTCTGTACCTTAGTTTGTTGGCATTTAATTTTAATTCAACATAATCAAGCACAGAGATTCTTTTAAGAGAAATTTATTTAAAACTATATAGAGATATGAATTTAAGATACAGAAATTATCACTTATTTATAAATTATTATCTAATAAATATGTTAATGACATTATTTCCATGAAATACATTTAGGTGGTTTGTTTAGTTTTAATTTGGAATTCAGCTTCCAAGAAGAAAGAAATATGGTACTTTGATTGTGATGAGACAAATTGGTTATTGGCAATAGCATGAAGTAAAGTGAGGTTTCTTTTTTTTCTGGTACCAGGGATTGAACTCACACTTGCCAGGCAGATGCCTATGCTGCTGAGATAAATGTAAAGTGGGTTTTAAAACTTACTCTTGCTCAAGCTATTGTCGTACATATTGCAGATAAACACAGTATTACATGTTCATTTATTATTATAAATAATAAAATCCATGCTTCCTTAAGAACAGTATATTCTGTGTACAAACCCTGTGAACAAGGGATAGTAGGTTTTCTCATTCAACTACTGTAATTTTCCTTGGTTAATTTTGTTGTGGGCCACATGTCCGTACAAATCTGAATTGCCAGATTTGGACCTACATATATTGAACAGAGCTCACAGTAGGAAAATGTGAAAACAGTTGAAAGGATGCCCTAGAGTGAGGCCAGGAAAGAAACACATAATTTTTAGCCAGTGATTAGTTGGAAGTCAAACTACACAGGCATATCTATGTAGAGACTTTTTTTCTGCTAAGGATGGGAAGGGCTACTAAGGAGGATCTGGCCCCTTTTATGCCCTAATCTTCCTAATTGATGCAGTTTCCTTAATGCAAATTGTACTCTTCTCCATTTAAGTACTGTGAAGAAAACAAAAAAAAGATTGATTTCCTGGCAGAATAAGTGTAAAGGGAAGTGACTGTTACCTCACTATCAATAAAATTACCTTCCATTTACCTTCTCAGAACTGAGGATTCCCTTGGCATTGAGACTGTTTCAAAAGTACTTACATTTCCTACTTGGATTATGATTGATATATTAAATGCCTTGACCCAGACAGATGCAGGAAACATAATTTAAGTCAATGAAAATTTGTGCTTTTGTGAGAGGTGTGGAGGATTTCAAGATAGTATGAAATAGAATAGAAAAGTTTAAGAAATTCAACTTAGAGAAAAATGTAATTTTGGCACCTTTATTAAAAGTATATTTCACCTTTTTAAGAAAGGTATAACACTTGTGTTTAAAATTGAATTTTAGTGATGATATTTTTTGGAATGTTCTACATGCCATATTGATTTAGGCAGTATCAGTGGTAAAGTGCACGGTTATGTATACACTAATATTGTCAGCAATGAGACTGAAATTCAGTGTCCTACTTTAAAAAGATTTTTGATTGAGTTAAAAACAATAATTAGTACATATTCTATACCTTGTTCAACTTAGTATTTTTTAGAGAACTTATATATTTTCTTGTACAGATGCATGATATGGTAATTTCTGCCTAGTCTTCTGTTTTATAGGATATATTAATTATGCAGACATTCCCCAATAAATGAGCTTTTCAGTATACAGGCTGAACAGATGCTGAGGGAAGTCTTGCATTTCCTGACAGTGTTGATGAGTGTCCATTTCCCCCTGGTCAGCTAATGTTTTTGTTACTGTTTTTTTGCTAGATGAACCAAAGTATATTTTAATTTTAAAGTGAGTTTATAATGATAAGAAAATTCTTGTTTCTCCTTTTATGATACTTTAGGTTCACAAATCATTTCCAAAGAGTGAATGCCTATTGTGTGCTGTGGGCTCCAGGGATATAAAAGTGAGGAAAACAAATAGTATCCTGAATGTACACAGTCACTTTACTATTGGCCCACAAATTTATATATTTGGATTTAAGGCTGATACTTTTTTTTTCTCTTTTGAGACAAGGTCTGGCTATGCAGTATAGGCTGGCCTTGAGCTCAGGCTGGTCTCAAATTCATGACACTCCTCCTGCCTCAGCCTCTGGAGTGTGAAATTACAGGCATGTACTACCACACCCAGCTAAGGTTCATACATTTTTTAAAACTTGTATTCAGTACATTTTTAAATCTTTGGTTTTTTTATTTCTAGTTGAACACACTGTGTATAGATACTTGCCCTGACATTTTGATAACTTTAGATGAAAGCAACTCTAAGTACCCAAATGCTTCTGTGTATTATGAGGTACAGTTGAGTCACAAAATAGCTTCTACTAAACTTTCGCATAGAAGATTTCATGTAGTAGTTATATCCAGTCCTTTTATGGATCTAAAAACTTTAGAATGACCTTATACCCTGTACAATGTTGGCCCCATTTCTAAGGATTTTATTGAAACCTTCATTTTTTGTTTGAAACTAAATAGTTTTTTTGCTTGAAAATGATACAGGGAAAGTATTTTGTATTAAGATATGCAAATTCGTTCCTACCTCCAAAGCTTCTTTGAAAAATACACAAAAAAAGAAAGAAAAAGTTATCCTTCCTTGGAAATGCTTCATATTCATGAAAACAGTTTCAATGCAAAACACTTTATTCTGTTAGCTTTCAGTTCTTTGATCAATGAAAATTGTTTTTTACCTGCTGTTTCTTCAGCCTTTAATTGTAGCCCAGTGCTTATTCAATGTTTTCTGTTTTAATTTGCATTTAGTGAGCTTATTTTAAATGTTTCTTTGTAGTAAACTGAATGGTTTCCCTCTTAAGTTTTGTAATGTTAAAGAAAGACTTACCTTGACAGTTGGCTGATTTGCAGCTTCCCCCAAGCCTTGTTTACTTCATCCTGTATGTGAATTTTGGTTAAAAGGAATTGTAGTAATAGGACTATTTCCCTTAGTATTGTGTTTCCTAATTATCTAGGACTTCTACCAAGGTAATGTCTGTTTTTCGTTAAATAGAAACCTTTCTCCTTCTACTAATGACTATTTCAATTCATAATCATACTTCCTTCATCAATTCTTTGTAGGTGGTGCTCGTCAGGAGTAAGTCCAGGTGAGAAGTGTATGTTGTTGCATTACCTATGGGGAAGAGGCACAGAAATCTAAAGACACTGTTTTCCTCCTATGCCTTCATTCAGTGGGGCTGATAAAGACGTTTTTGTAAAACCAATCCACTGTCTCTCCTACAGAAGCAGAGTATAGTAATTAGGAATGTGTATACTTTGGGGACCACAAATTCACAGTGGCTAATTTTGCATACTTATGTAAGGGATAAGAGGCCTTACATAAGATGGGACTATCAGTATCACCCGTTTGAGATTTCCCATTATCTCTTTAGGGGTGGGCCTTCCTCTCCCACCCACTAAGATTAAAACTAAAACCACTAAGATTAAAAAATCCTGTCTTAGCCTAAAATCTCTTCCTTCCCCTTGAGTCATGACATAATCCCTTCTGAAAATCCCTTCTTTGATCAATAAATGATGAAGTTCTGGCTGCCTCATGGCCTTTTCCTTGGGAACAACTGGTCATCACAGATTCCCACTGTACATTCCCACTGCCATTTCTGTCTCTGTATCTCTGTCTCTCTTTCATGTCTATGTACTGTAACACCTGGCAGGAGATTGGAGTCTCACTGCAGGGGTTCCCTATAATTTATGTATCAACACTTACACAGTACAACACATGATTCTTTGTAT